CCCCCCCCCCCCCCCCCCCCCCCCCCCCCCCCCCCCCAAGCGCTGACTCTTTTCCTCTGTGTGCTCACACCTCCCCCGCTCCCCTGCCTGCCCGCCTGCCCGCCTGCTTCTGTTTCCCTCAGTCGCTGCCATCACCACCCGCATCGACTACATGACCAACCACATCAAGATGCACCCGAAGGATTCCAGCTGCCGCCGTCGGATTGTGCAGCTCGTGCACCGTCGCCAGCGCATGCTGTCCTACCTGAAGCGCTCCTCGCTTGAGCGTTACGTTCAGACCGTTCATGCTCTTAAGCTCCGCTCGGCGTAGTGGCCTACGCGTGCTCCACACTCGCCTTCCGGCGTTGCCTCCACCGCCGCCACCGTCGTCGCGCACCCCCCCCCCCCTGCCTCTGCCTACTTCTCTCTACTGTCTGTCCTTGATTTTACTTCCCCAATTTGTCCCAAATAATACACCTATAGATATACCGAGCGGGGGTGCGACCCGGAGTTCGACGACAGGCACCAGGGCGCCCCTCTTGTGCGCGTGCTCACCCGTGAGGAGGGGTGCCCGTGTGTCGCCGTATCACCGAGGCAGAGGCCCAGCGACGAAGAGGGAAGGAGCGAGCGGGAGAGAGAGGGAGAGAGGGAGAGAGGGCGGACGCGAGGGGAGCCGGCAGAACGGGGCGGGGGTCGCCAGCTGGTGCGGTGCGCCGGCTGCTCGGGCGGGCGTTCGCGACGCCGCGCACTCTCGGAATGCCAACGTTACAGCGACACACCAACGAATCGACGAATCGAACTTTGCATGGCTCGACCTCGCGTCAGTGGGTGGCTGGCGGGCACGGTCCCCCAGCAGGCACCAGCGCACCGTTTCAGCTGGGTACGGTTTTTTCTCCTCCAACTCTGGCAAGGGTGGCCCCTCCTGGCCGCTGTGTGTGGTTAGGGGGGGGGGGGGGGGACGGCCCCCGGGCCGGTGTCCCGTTTTTCCATGTCGGCTCCCTGGCAAGGGCGCGAAGTCGCGCCATTTTTCTCCGAGGGCGCCAGTGGCCGCCCCGCTGGAGCATCTAGCAGCCACTCCCCACCCCCTCTGTCGCCCTCTGTTCTTTCTCTCCCTGCTCCACCCTCTCTCCCCCTCTCTCGCTCCTTGTTGCGCCGTTCGGACAAGCGCACGGACTCCTGCTTCCCCCTCGTGTGGCTTCTTTCTCTGCCTGTGCCGACCTCCCGGACCAACGCCGAAGAGGGCGTGAGGATACTGCTCCTGCCCTCTGTTCGTGTCCTCGGCCCAGTCGCACCCGTGTTCGTCAGCAGGGACGTGCGGTGGGGAAGACGTTCCTCTTCTCCCCTGCCTTGAAGCGCCCGCGCTCCCTTCTTCAAGAAAAAAGCCCCCCCCCCCCCCCCCCCCCCCCCCCCCCCCCCCCCCCCCCCCCCCTCCCCCCCCCCCCCCCCGTGGTGATGCTCCCCCAGCAGGGCAAGATGGTTGGCGGTGGTGGCGGGGCGTCCTCTGGGACTGGCAGCGGCAGTGGAGGAGGCAGCGGCACCGGTGGCGGGCCTCCCTCCGGAGGTCCCCCCCCCTCCGGCGGGTCATCCATCATGGGGCACCTGCCCCTGTCTCGGGGCCACGGCCCGCCTGGGGCTCCTGGCGGCCCGCCGCCTCACTTGCCCGGCATGGTGCATCCCATGATGCCCATGTCGCCGGGGGCCCCGCCTGGCGGACCACCACCTGGTGCCTACATGTCAGGCATGATGGTGGGGGCCCCCCATGCCCACCCTCACTCGTCGCGACCGATGATGCACCAACCGCCGCCATCGGGGCCACCTGCCCCTGGCTCGGGCCCCGGCGGGCCGGGCTCTTCCCCGGCCCCGCCACTCATGCACCTCGGCCACCGGGCGCCGAGCGCGCACGGCTCCGCGGCCGGGGGCTTCCGCTCGGGCATGGTGCACTTCCCGCCACCCGGGACAGCCGGAGGCCCCGTTCTGTCCGGCAACCAGCTGCACGGCCTTCATGTGTCGTCCCCGCCGCCGCCGTCGCCACCGCCGCCCCTCGGCGGGCCGACACTGTCCCTCAGTGGCGCGGGGCCCTCCGCCACCGGTGCCGGCTCCTCCTCGCCGCTCTCGCCACCGCCCGGCCTAGGTATGTGTCCTCGATTGCTCCCTCGGATTGCGCCTGCTCGTGGTCCCTTCTCACCGGCATGCTTCTCACCTGGCAGGGGGCTCGCGGGGCCGGTCGAACTCCTTCTCCATGGGCGGTGAGGGTGTTCTCTCTCCGGGCCGCCGGCCTTCCTTCGATCGGCCACTATCGCCTCGGATGCATTCCACCGGGCTGCCCGGGCCGGGTCCGGGTCCGGTTCCGGGGACTCTGCTGGCTGGGCGTCGGCCCTCGGGCGGCCCTCCCACCGGCGCCGGGCAGGCGGTGCCGCCCTTCGGCGCGCCGATGTCGCCTCTCGGCACGCCATTGGCCCTGGGACATCCTCCGCCTGGGGGATCGCCGCCTCTTGCGTCGCTGGGCGCGCCCGGGTCCCTCGGTGGCGCTGGCAGCGGTGGCGGCGGCCGATCCAGCATGGGCACCGGTCGCAGCCGAAGCCCGGAAGACCGCTCCGGGCCCGGAAGACGGCCCTCCCTATCGATGGGCACCAATGAGGCGGATATGGATCATCATGCATCTCGGCCAGGTCCCTTCTCCCCCGGGGGCGGCCCATCGCTCGGGCGCCGGCCTTCTACCTCGGAGCCAGATGTCCCCGGACGCCGGGATCTGAGCCCGCTCCCGGGCCGGCCATCCGCCGAGTCTGAGGAGCAGTCCCTGTCGTGCGTCCGCCCCCCCCTCCCCCCCCCCCCTTTCCCCTCATTCCCAGTCACAGCGCGGATGGACCTCCGCTGGTATGCATGCCTTTGCGTCCGCATCTCCTCACGACCACCTCTCTCACCCTTCGCTCGCGCTTTCTCTCTCCCTCCCTCTCTCTCTCTCTCCCTTCCTGCTCTTGCCTCCCCTGGGCGTGGCGTCCAGACGCGCTCGAAGCCGTTCACCAGGCTCCACGCAGGCGCTCGATGGTGGATCTTATGCCATGCCGGTGCGGCGCGGCCCCGCCGGGCGATCGGGCGCATCCTCCATGCGCACGCCGGCCGCTGGCGGGCGCGATGACCGCAGCCGGAGCCGCTCGCACAGCCGGTCTCGCAGCCGGTCTCGCAGCCGGAGTCGCGGCCGCGGCCGGCGCCCGCTCCTCTCACACCGCAGCCGAAGCCGCAGCCGCAGCGACAGTCGCAGCCGGAGTCGCAGCCGGAGTCCCAGTCACCATGGGCGCATTCCGCGGCGACTCGCCACTGGCCGAGGGGGTCGTGGTCGCGGCCGGAGCCGGTCCGCCTCACCGCCCCATCGGAGTCGCAGTGATAGTGTCAGCCGCGGCGGCCGGGGCTTCAGCCGGAGCCGGAGCCGGAGCCGGAGCCGGAGCCGGAGCTTCAGCCCTCGGCGCGATCGGAATCGCATGCGCGGCCGCCTGGCCGACCGTGGCCGCAGCCGCAGCCGTAGCTTCAGCCGGAGTCGCAGCCGGAGCCGGAGCCTGGGTCGCTTGCGCAGTCGAAGCCGGAGCTTCAGCCGGAGCCGGAATCGCAGCGTCAGCCGGAGCCGGAGCCGGAGCCGGAGCCGGAGTCGAGGCCGTGGCGGCGGCGGCGGCGGTGCCGGCGGTGCCGGGGCTGGTGGCTACGATCGGCCTGGGCCATCTGGCGCTGGTCGGTCTCGGGGCCACTCTCCCTCTCGCCGGCGGTATTACTCTTCGCCCCGGCGACCGGCCCCATCGCCTCGGTCGCGCTCGCCATATGCCTCAGGCCGCTGGCCCGGGCCTGGGCGATCGCCAATGTACATGGGCCGACTTGGTCCCTTCGATCGGCCGGCCCTGGATCGCCACCGGAGTCGAAGCCGGAGCCGGAGCCGGAGCCGGAGCCGGAGCCGGAGCCCTGGGCGCGGCCGTCTCATGAGCCGGAGCCGGAGCCGGAGCCGGAGCCGGAGTCTTGGCCACGGGCGTGACCGCAGCCGTAGTCGCAGCCGTAGCCTTGGTCGGAGCCCTGGCCGGAGCCGGAGCCGGAGCCGGAGCCGTAGCCGGAGCCGGAGCCCTGTTCGGAGTCGCAGTCGCAGCCACAGCCGCAGTCACAGCCCGAGTATGGTCCGGGCGCGTGGCGGGCCGAATCTCAGCCCCAGTCGGGGCCGGTCTCAAAGCCGGAGCCCAGGCCGGGCCCGCGATCAGAGCCGAGGCCCGGGCCACGGGTCAGAGGGCCTCTCCCTGCAGGCGGATCCCTCGGCCGTGGCAGCAGTGCCCAGCCTGACTTCCGGCCCGGCGGCTGCCACCCCGGCCAGCAGCTCGCCCGATCGCTCGGCCCCCCTGGCCACGGATCCGGCCAAGCTGGCCACCTTGCGCTTGTCCAGTGAGGTGGATCCCCCTTCCGGTAACCCTGCTGCGCCGGTGCCTGATGGTGCCATCCGGCACCCGGCGCCGGCTGCCGAGGCGGCCAAGCTGGCGCTATCCCCTTCGTCGCCGGCTCTGACTACGGCCATGCCCCCGGCCGCCGTTGTCACTGCTGCCTCCGCCACCGCCACCGCCACCGTTGCCGGTGCTCCTGCTCCTGTTGCTGCTGCGGATGAGGCACCCGTCGACATGGCAGTGGACCAGCCTCGGCGTCTGCGGTCGCGATCGCGGTCGCGCTCACCCGACTCGATGGACGCCTCTGGCCCGCCGCACAACAAGCCGGCTCCGGACACCCCCGCAGCTGCTGCTCCTGGTGGTGGCAGTGCTGGCCGCGGGCCGGCCTTCTCCGGCAGCGATGCCGATGATGACAGCGACCATGAGTCCACCGAGCTCAAGGCCGACCAGCCCCCGCCCCAGGCATCGTCCCTTGGGCGTCTTCGCCGGGTGGCAGATCCGGGTGCGGCGGTGCCGGATGTTCCGCCGACTGCGCCTCCCTCCCCGCCGCAGGTGCAGCGCATGTCCATGTCAGTCGATAGCGACAGCAGTCGAAGTGGGTTCAGCTCGGACTCTTCGGACGCGTCGGACTCCTCCTCGGCGGCGTCGATGGCCGGTCGACGGGATGGCTCGCCGGCGCGAAGCCGGCCCGGCCAGCCGGCCCGGCCGGCGCCGCGCACCCGACCCACCCACATGTCCAGCTCTTCGGATTCGGACACGCGGTCGCCCAGCCGGCTGCCAGCCCGCCGGTCAACTCCGCTTCTCCGGGCCAAGCACCGGCCCGCCGGCCCTCCCTCTCCGCGGGCTCTTTTCTCTTCGGAGAGCGAGGTGCCCAGCGCCATGGCCAAGCTCGACGACCACCTGGCACTGGTGTCGGACTTCTCCTCGCTCAGCTCCCTGACCGAGAGCAGCCTCAGCGAGTCGGACATCAGCGGCTTGAGCTCCCTGAGCGCCTATAACTCGGGCTCGGAGTCTGCATCCGAGAAGGAGGAAGCCACGGCTGAGCATGCTGACAGGGGCAGTGGCGTGGCGACCGTCAGCTCGACGGCGGCCGGCGCTCCGGAGCCCGGGGCCGCCGGGGCAATTGTCACCGCGGCAGCTGGAGTTGCCTCGGCCGGCTCGCCGGCTGTCTCGAGCATGGCATCGTCGTTGTCGCCAGCCTCTCTGGCAGCCCCGGACCGGGCCGAGACCGGCAAGGATGGCGCGAAGGGGGGAGAAGAAGAAGAGGACGAGGATCTCCTCCGATCAGATGACGAGGGGTCCTCGCCGGAGCCAGCCAACCAGCGGCTCCGCCGGTTGTCCATCACCCTCGACCAGCAGCAGGCACGCGAGCTGAGCAAGGCGTACAGCCGAGGTGCCTCCGGCCCGGCGAGCGGCGAAGGTCTGATTCGACGGGGCTCCCCCGTGCCGGGGGTCGGCACGCCTGGGCGACCGGCTCGCCGTTCGAGCACCTCCGGCCTCCCGCGTCGCTCCGGGCTTGACCTTGGCCGTGAGGCGGCCGCTCTGGCGCGGTACCTGCCCGGGGTGGCCCCCTGGCCTGAGAGCCCGGTGATGCTGGATCGGGCGACCCCGCAATCGCGAGACGCCGACGGCCGGACCCAGCTTCACCTGGCGGCTTATCACCGGCAATTGCTGGCTGCGAGCACGCTGCTCGGTCAGGGCGCCGATGTGAATGCGCGCGATGCGGCTGGCTGGACGCCGGTTCACGCGGCCGCCCTGCGCGGCCACATCTCGGCCATCATCTTGGTATGTGTTTCCCCTTGCTTGGGTCGGGTTTTGGTGAAAAGCTCGGGCGCCATTCGCTGGTGTCCCAGTGCTGACGCGTGATCCCCCCCCCCCCCCTCCTGCGCGGTGTGCATCTGCACCTGCAGCTCTATGATGCTGGGGCCGATCTCAATGCCCAAACGGACGATGGTCAGACGGCGTTGCACATGGCCTCGCTTGGTGGTCACCGGCCGGTACGCCAGGCGCCCTCTCTCTCTCTCTCTCTCTCTCTCTCTCTCTCTCTCTCTCCTCTCTCTCTCTCTCTTTACATACACACACATCTTTTCATTTGCCCTCCTTCCCTCGCATCCTCCACCTGGCCCATGCCCTGCCCATGGTATGCTCTGACATCTTTCTATCCTCTTCCACTGGTCCGTGCAACCGGCGCGCAGGCCTTCTTGTTGCTGGTTCGTTTGGGCGCCACGATTCGGGAAAACGCCCAGCGGCAAACGCCCCAGCAGTGTTGCCCCCCGAACCTGGATGGCTTCATGCACGGTTCGTGTCACGTTGCCCTGATTGGCCAGCATATGCTGTGGCCACGCTCGCGTCTGACTTCTTTTCTGGCTTTTTTTTTACCCCTGGCTCTTGGCAGAGTTCTCCAAAGACCTGCAGCTTGTTCAGGAAACCCTGCCCCAGGGGCAAACACATCTTCATCGTGTGGCGGCTGATGGCGACACGACGGCCGTTCGACGGGCCCTCAATGCCGGGGCGGCCATCGACCAGCCAGATGACAGTGGCCGGACGCCGCTCTTCGAGGCAATTCTTGGCGACCACACAGATGTCGGGTCCCTCTTGTTGCACGTGCGTTTCCCGTGTGGCTGGAGCGCCTCCCCCCCCCCCCCCCTGTTTTACGATGATCTTTTCTGTCTTGGTCTTTCGCTCCTCCCCAAACTATCCCGACTGACTGTCCTACTCTTCCCCATGCACACGCACACGCACACGCACACGCACACGCACACGCACACGCACACGCACACGCACACGCACACGCACACGCACACGCACACACACACACACACACACACACACACACACACACATACACACACATGTACGCATAACAACGCATGCTGAAATGTACATGCGTGCAGTACGGGGCGGATCCCAATGTTCGCGGGCCCCATCGCGTGGCTCCCCTGCATGAGGCCGCCGAGCGGGGCCAATTTGCTGCCGTGGCCTTGCTTCTGGTCTTCGGGGCAGATGTTCACGCCCGGACCGACCGCCAGCAAACGCCGCTGGATCTCCTGTCGCGAGATCGCATGTCCGCCGGGGACTTCCGTCGGACTAGCCGGCTGCTGGAGGCCCAGGCCCGGCACTCACCGGCCGGGGCGGTGTCCACCCCCCCAGCTGGGCGTCTTGGGCCCGGACGGCTGAATAGCGCCGGATTCGCGCACATTTCCCCCGACGCGGCCTCGGAGGTGTATTCCGTGGCACAGACCCTGTTAGATGGCAAGTTGCTCGGGCCCGAGGCGGTGACTCAGCCATCGAGAGCAGCCGATGTAACCAGCCCGGATATCGCGGGCGCCTCTGGGCCCGGCTCGCCGCGATCCTCGGTCCCAATGTCGCCAGTGGCGCCGAAGCCCAGTACGCACTGCTTGCTGCCATCGCCCTTCCTGCTGCCATCGCCTCCCGAGCTTTCCCTGTGTGCACCTCCGCACATGTATCCCCCGCGCCCCCCCCCCCCCGCCTGCTGCTCGCGGCTCCCTCCTTTGCATTCCCAGGCCTCTCACTGACATGCGATCCTCCTCTTCGGCACCTGGTGTTTGTCTGGCCCCGGGGCAGATCGACACCATGCGCACGATGAAGCGCTTTTCCGTGACCCCCATGGGCCGCGCCACCAATGCCGCCTATGTCAACTTTGTCACCATCCAGAGTGCCATCCGGGCGGTCAACGACCAGCTGACCATTGACGGGCTGGATGTGAAGGTGGTCTTCACAACGGCCCGAGCGGCGGCCGAAGCAACTGGCGGGCCACCCGCCGCGGCTTCGCGCTTCTCCACTCCGGCGCCAGCACCCGCGCCGGTGCCGACGCCGGTGCCGGCACCGGTGCCGACGCCAACGCCGGCGATCCCCCCCACGCCGGTGTCTGTGCCGGTGTCCGGGCCTCCTGCGGGGCCTCGATTGGCCGCCGTGCCGGCCTCCCAGGATGCCGGCAGTGACTCCGAGCCGGAGCCCGGGCAAATTTCCAT